TTTTGGGTTTAAAGGAGTCAGTGTGAGTGACTGCTTCATCAGAACAAAGCCTCTGATAGGTAAAGAAAGCACAGAAACAACTCGCACACACACATTCGGCAGCCGGGTTTAGAAGCAGGATTAATTGGAGAGTAACTGGCGGGTTCCCTCATGTGCTGTTTGAGTGTTTGTTGGGAACCGTCCCAGCTGTAGTTAAGAGCCTCTGGGTGCTTCTTCATCTGAAGCGCAGCGAAAACAAGCTACTCACTTTAACCAGCCGCTGCAAAACAATACAGGCGGGCGTGCTGAATGGAAGCAGTGGCATCGGCATCAGTAGAGGAACCGTTTGAGTGAACAGATCATCGATCAAACAAGCAAATGAGATAGCAACAAATCGATTTCAACAACATTCCAGTTTCATAAAACTTGAGCCTTATTTTCACAGTTGTGGCTGTCATTTCTATCAGTAATGATGACAATGTACTAGCTAATTACTTAGATTTTGGAATGTGGCAACATCGCTGAAAAGACATTTAGTTTGGAAAGAAACACGAGCAGTCGATCACATTTTGAAACCGACGTGAAAAGTAGAATTATTATGAACTTGATTCCTCAAACTGTCCGTTGAAAACGAGCCTCACAGTTTACAGACTAAGTGTAGTTGTGCGTGCAGCAGTTTTTCACCAGTATTTCAGGTTTCACCTTTAAATAAAGTTTAGATAAACTGATAAACCGGGTTCTCCTTATCTCCCAATTAACTTCAGTGGCAATGAAATCGTAACTATCTCAAATCTCTTCACTGTGAACCTTTACACATCGTGCACTGAATTATTATATTCTATAGTTTTTATAGCACTTTTTTTATAGTTTCTATTTTTCTATTCTATATTTGTGTTCTTCACTTTTGCAGTTGCACTTTTCCTGTTTATTGTACGTATCAAACACCAGGGCACATTGTTGGGCAATAAACCTCCTTCCTCATTCTTCCTGTTAGTTCAGAGTCTGGCAGATGTACAGGAGGAAAAAGACTCCAACATGTAATCTGAATGTAAGGTTGGAGTCATGTAGACACAACGAGGAGGCGGGGCTTCTTTCAGAGGAGAGGAGGCTGAAGGGAGCGAGTTGAGGAGAGAGTGATGGGGGGGCACAAGAGTGGCAGATGGTTACAGTTGCCGGGGGCGATGCTAGGGGCTTCCCTGAGGGGTTTAGACATACTGTACCTGCAGTCACCTGCCATGTATCACCTGTGGAAGTCAACGTGAGAGAGAGAGAGAGAGAGAGAGAGAGAGAGAGAGAGAGAGAGAGAGAG